TGTGTGTGTGTGTGTGTGTGTGGCCAGCTCAGCCCACCAGGGGGCAGGGCTGGCTGGCATGTGGTGCTGGGGGATTGAACCGCGGTCCCGGTGCTCTGCTAAGCTTGTTCCAAGTAGATGCTTTAGACCACTGAGCCATCTCACCAGCCCCAAGAACCACCTCTTAAACCCACACGCAATTAAATTCCTTAAACTGTGACTGACTTCTGATAATTCCCAGCAGGGTCCAAGAGACCGCTGAGACTAAGAGTGCCCAGCCCTGTGCCACCTAAACAGAGCTCATTGAAGGAACCACAAAAGCACGAGACAGGGAGTCGCACAAAGTGGCTTTGTCTCTGTGAAATGTGGCTCTGTAGAGACAGGAATACCTGGGACTCTGTCCTGGGGATGACCGGAGTTCACGTGTATCCTGACAGAGATGCCTGAACCGTGAGTAGCTAGCTGGTGTCCTGGCTCAACCGTTCTTGGAGTTTCTTTCAGAGACGTGTGGCCCAGGCCACACGGGGTATTCAGCACCAAGGGCATATGGGGCGGCTGGGGCTACACAGCAGGATTCTGTACTGAGGGAAGTGGCTCACCCGCTGGAGATCAGATCAAAGCATCACAGGGCTCACTGCTTGCTGGGGAAGCCTCTGAACTCAGCACACAGCTATAAAGCGACCAGGGGGCATTCATCCGAGTCCTTTGAAAGTGGTACCCCAACCATGGAAACCAGTGGGACCGGGTCACGGTGGCAAATCGGAGCCAATTAGGGTGAATCAGAGAAGAGCTGGGGCATCCTGGACGTTCCTAGCCGACCTCAGCTTTCCCCACCGCATCTGCAGGCTGGGCTTTCAAAGGCTCAGAGAAGCACCAAAGGTGAGGCGTCCCCTAAGGTCCAAGCGAGGAGGGAGGTGCTGTCACGCTGCCTCGAGTACTCATGAAGTCTTCCAACAAGCATTCTACAGTGAGTAGCTGCCATTTCTCCTGCAAAGAAGTCCTGCAAGTGTTCAGGCTGCTCGAGACCTGAGCTAAGTGCTGGGTGGAAGCGCCCTGGCCGGGCAGCGCTGGAGGCGCTGCTTCGTGCTCCTTGCCCCACCCGCAGGGCCAAGAGCTGCCATCTTTCAGCACGCTCAGGATGAAGAGCCAGAGCGGCCGGCCCACAACGGTCCTCCTGCGTACAGCCTGGGAGTCTCTTCATCACTGCTGTTTGCTTAATGTTTGCTCCTTCTGTCTAAGAGGCAGTGGGGCTTTCACAACGGGGGAACAACTGCCTACCTCGGCTTGGCGCTGGGAAGCAGTTCTGGGATGCTCCAGAGCAGCACGAAGGAAGGCTCCTCCTCTCATTTCTCCATCTCCAGATCCCCCAGCTTGCTGCCACCCCCACCCTCAAGCAGGGCCCCAATCCCCGATGGTGCGTGTCACCAGCCTGGCTTTTCTGGAGATGTGTGTGCTCTGCCGGCCCCTTGCTGCAGCCCACGGGGGTGGGAACAGCACTCAAGAGCATCACCAGAGGTGGCTAGGCCTCTCAAACCACACTCAGGGGTCCACGCTGAGCCACGCAGTATGTGAGGGTGCAGTGCGTGAGATGGAGCGGAGCTCCTTGCACCACTGACTGACCAGTGGCTGGTGGCACTTGGTCCCTTACACTTGCGGCTTTCTGTTTGATTTTTAAGCTTTCAGAACCCTGTATTTAACCCAAGCCTACCTAGATGCAGAGTCAAACATTCAGATAAACCAAGAGAACTCTCAGGAAGTTTCAAGGACGTGTGGTTTGGGACCTAGAAAGGTGTGAACCACTGTTCCTACGGTAGACGCTCCTGCGTCCTAGACAATGTTAAGAGGGCATTAAATCTGCAGAAAAAGGCAAGTCCAAGGCAGGAGAACAGATGCCTGGGAATGAACCCACAGAAGAGCAGGGTTGTCAGTTTGTTTGTTCTTTCTTTCTTTTTTTGAAGAGGCAACCCTGAATGTGATTTGTATTTGTCTAATAATTTACCTTTCTGTTATCTGCTAGAAATCCTCAGGATTGATTTGGAGTTGAAAACATGGACAACACTTCCTTTTAAGCAAAAATGTAATTTTTTGGTATAGATGGTTTGATGCTTTATACAGCATTCTAGGGTGGATATATAAACTTGTAGAGGAAAACACGGCAACAATTGTGACTGGGATGACAGGCTTTACATCAGACGCAACAGTGAACAGAGGCGACGCTGCATGGGTGGGTGGTACCGACAGAGCTTGCTACACGTGGCCTCCTCCCGCCTGTGTCCCGGTCCTGATGCTGTTACTTCTGTTTGTTTCTGGGATACCACTCAGCTACCAGCAAACAAGGGTGGCCTGCTGGAGTGAGGACATCTCCCAGAACTGGCTGAGTGGCTAGGCACACAGGTGCACCACCCCACGATGCCAGCCTTCACCCTGTGGGGTGTCGCTGGTACCCCACACAACACCATTTCCAACCATGTCCTCACGCCGCTCACAGTCTCTTATTAACTCACACTCTGTGATGGAAAGTCCATGCTAGCTCCAGGCCTCACCTGGAAAGGATGGGCACAGGCCGTCAGAGGCGCTGCTAGCAACCTCATTTTCTTTGCAGGAATGATGCAGGAACGTGGCTTACCTTTCGTTTCATGATAGAACATCACCTGCACAGGGAATGGAGGTACTGTACAGGATGGGGCGCAGGCAGTGGACACCGCCACTAGCAGCAGGCATCTGCTGCGCCGCGCACGGGCTTCTCTGGAGCCTCGTGCACCAAACGGCCACACCCTGCACAGCAGTGGGGACACCTGCAGCTCATAGGCAGGTTGGCCTGTGCAGCTAGGCATGGTGTAGGCCAAGACTTTGGGGGACTGTCAAAAAGTGAGCGGGCAAAATAAATCTTGACCCAAATCTAGTGAACATTAGGCTCAAGTTGGGCCCACACAATTTGGAATCTAAGACAAATCATTATCTTCTAAATTTACAATTTGCTTTTACGTCTTTTGTAAAAGTTATAGGAATAGAACCAATCGGCTGGCAGGAGGTGCCGGGGTACGAGCAGGTGCCATGCAGGTGTGTGTGCTGGCTCCCTAATCTGTCCTGTGTTCCGCGTGTCTGTGGTTACTTCTCAACAGTGGCTCTCCACAATAATACATCACCTTTGAAGTCTAAAATGCCAATACTTGCAAGTACGCTTACTTTCAACATAGTGGAGTGAGTACAGGAAGAAGCCGCGTTGTGGTGCAGTATTCAGGATTTAGGTATTTATTTAGGTAAAAAACGCTCTGAACACTCTGGGGAAACAGGATTCAGTGATAGAAGAATATTTCGGGGATTTTTTTTTTTTTTTTTTTTTTTTTTTTTTTTTTTTCCAAGGATATACATTCGTACTGATTTTTGCTTCCAAATATATTTTAAGGCTGTTTGGTAAAATATATACCAGATATGAGGCTCAATTTACAGGGTTTTGTTCTTACAGGGAATTCTTAACTACTCAGCTTTAAAAAAGTAAAACTTTGAAGCTCGACATGCGATAATACCCACTGTACCCAGTGAACCCCATGCTTGGTGGAATGTCGACTATGAGGGGTCAGCCCGCAGGCCCCGGCGCAGCACCGCACACGCAGTCGCGCTGTCCGGCCGCAGGGCTGGGCGCGTCTTAAAGTGCGAATCACAGAGAGAAAACAAAGTGCTACAGGGTCGTCGAAAGCCTTCTGCCTGTGGCTAAGCGCAAGGTGCTCCTCAAAGCAGCAAGAAGGAAGGCCTGGTACTTGGGTGGAGACATCTGTGGCTGCCATCCTGCCTGTCTGGGCCGGGCCGCAGGAGGCCTGGGCGCTCCTGGGCTGCAGCGCGGCCGGCTGGCGCGCAGGGGCAGGTTGGCTGGAGCAGCCCGCCCACTCGGCGCTCCGCCGGCTCGGAACAGAGCCCCGGGCCTCTGTTGCTACCGGCGTCAGGAGACCTTCTCAGATTGTCACCTTTCTCAGATTCCATGGCTGGAAATCACCACATGCCACCTTTTTTCCCTTCCTGTCTAACACAGGCAAGAAATGAATTCTTGACTTCAGCAATACTGCATAGGACAAGATAGTTCTGGAAAAATACAAGTGTAAACTGCATTTCTTCTTTACCATTTAAACTGAGATATACTTACCACTCACATTCATATTCTTACACTTTTGACATCACAACTGTCATTTTATACAAGCAAACTCTTTTTTAAGGGTACCCTGGAAAGTCAGCTGATAGAGCAGTTTGAAATGTATGTACACATATAGAAACCACACGGAGCTTAGGTGGTAAAAACTTAAAGAAAATGCTGTGAATGCCTGAAGTTACAAAGGAATAAAAACTACAATGGCTGTTTCTGAGAAGGGAACAATTCTTTGTCACATGCGCCCAGCTTTCTGAGGCCCTGGTCCCTTTCCACGCATTCTTCCCTCTGGGAACCTTCACCTCCTCTCTGAGCTTTGCCAGCTCGTGGAGAGGGCTCGGGCTCGGGCTCGGGCTCGGGCTTGGAGCCTCCCTCCCGGGGCTTGGAGAACCACAGGGTGAGAGCTCGTGGGTAAAGACCCCTTTCTGTGACCTCACACTCGGCACGCAGGAGCCAAGAGCTCTCTGTTGGTGACAGCGAGGGCTGGGACAGCTGGGCTGGAGAGAGGGACCCCAGCTCATGGGGTGGGTCTGTCTTTCCTGCCCTTCGGGGTGTAGCACCTGCCACTTGGGGTGTCTGACGCCTCTCGGGAGCGGGGGAGATGCACCCATTTGCAGCTATTGTTCTTACCTCTAATATCACACAATGTATAAAAATAGAAATCACAAAGTGTCGGTGGGTTCCGCCTCCAGAGGCAAGCCTGGTCCTCCGAGGACAAGGAGGCGAGCTGGCCGTCACCACGCCCGTCCCTCAGAGCGACTGTGAGTCAGGCAGTCAGTTGGAAGAAGTCGTTCTCGCTGGCACACTGAGGAAACTGAAAGCATCCCACTGTGTTTATGGTACAAAGAACACAACAGCAGGGTGGATTCAGTGGAGGAAATGGGACAAAAGTTACCAGGTAGGAAACAAACTGTACAGTGTTTTGTTAAAAAGAACAAAAGGGGCGAGTGTCGCTGCCTCCAGTCCTCAGAGCCGGGTCTGGGCCTCAGGGATGTAGATCTCGATGCTGTCAGCCCGCTCCGTGGCCGAATTCTGGCGGAAGGAGGCCGCTCGCTTGGCGGCCAGGAGCCGTCTCCGCGCTTCCTGGCGCTGGCGGTCCGGCAGGTCCAGAGACTTCTCTCTCGTGATGGGAAATTTCCCCTTGGGGGGCTTCTTTGGTATTGGAGGGGGGACCTTTCTTTCCTCCTGGAAAGGACCACAAGTGGGAGGTGAGCAGAGCAGAGCACTTGTGTGTGTAGAGCCAGAAGCCCAGGGTGATGGGCCCCACAGAGCCCCGGGGTCAGGCTGCTCCTCTGCTCTGCTCTATTCCCTGGGCTCTGCCCTGGCGTTCTGTGTCCTCTACGCTCTCTCCAGCCCCCCGAGGGGGCAGAGGCCTTGGGCAGGGCAAGGAGTCTGGAAGCAGCTGCAGTACTCCCTGGCAGCCCTCCACCTGCACCACAGGTGCTTGTCCCACACTTTCCAAAGCACCACGTCCTGCCACTGCTGACTTATGCCTTACAGAGCAAGTGCACACTGTCGCCTGATGTAACTGTCACCAGCTGAACCTGGGCTTCGTGTGTGCACATGAAACCAGGCTAGGTGGGCAGGGACCCTCATAGCCTCAAGACCTCACTGACCTTACAGCGCCTGTGCATGCGTGATGAGCTTCCTCCTGCTAGGTAAATGGATGCAAGTAATTATTTCTGACTCTTAGTTCATGCTCTTGAATAAGTCTGACCAGTGTACATGGATGTCTTTTTCAGAAAGATAAATATCACATATTTGCAACAACTGGATACAGGTGCTTGCAGCCATTTGGCTGCCAGTTCGCACTCCGTCTTTAGCATCGTGCCCACCCTGACCAGCTCAGCCTTGCAATGGTTTCCTTCCCAGGAAGGCGACAGGATGGGAGGGGCTGGCGCGGGAGCCTTTCCTGGGGCGAGGCCCAGCCCCATGGCCTCACCTGTGCCCCTGCTTGGCCAGTAAGGCAGTCCTACGGTGTGGCTCACCACTGCAGCCCCAGCCCCAAGGCTCTGCATCAGGGCGGGAAGCTGTCCTGATGTCTGCGACTTTGCCCTGTGGTGCTCGTCACCAGGACTGAGGCCAGGCAGTGGCTCTCTCCTGCCTTCTTGGTGTGCGCAGTGGAGAATAGCTTATCCACAGTACTCGAATGGGCAGTTCCTGCTATATAACACGGCCACGCTCCCTGCACTCCCCTCTGCTCTGTGGCCTTTCAGTGTGGCAGCAACAGCCTGCAAACCTTTGTGGCGACAGCCCAGGGCTGGCATCAAGCTGCAACCCGACCCAGGGGCCAGACTGAGCATTGGTGTGGGTGGGGCCCGAGCCGCCTCTGAAAGGGATGGGGCAGTCAGAGGCTGTCCTTCTGCACTGGGTGCTCTCTCATCTGAGACCCTCTCTCTGCACATGGCTGGGCCAAGGTGGGGTGACCTGGAGCAGAGAGGGCTTCTGGGTATATGTGGGGTCCCCTCTGGATAACCTTGCATTGGAGTCAGCACTGAGCACCTCCTACCCCTCACAGCCAAGCCATAAAGCAGGAGGCTTCAGGCTCAGCTTCTGCTGTCCCTGGGGAAAGTGGCAGGAAGGATGTCCTGGGTGTCATCTGTGGTCTCTGGCCTGAAACTCCACTAGTGGCCAGTGGCACCTTCCAAGGAGGTGCAGAGGAAGGAAACCTATGTGGGCTGTGTCTGTTTTGCTGTGTAGCCCAGGTCTCCACGGATTCACAGCAGCCTTCCCGCCCCTGCCTCCAAGGGGCAGGATTACAGGTATGTGTAGCACAGCCAACTCTCCACCCACCAGCTTTTGCTCTACTGACCCAGCTGCATGCTGTGGCCTGTGTGAGCTCCACTCTCAAAGACACGCTGGATCAATTTTCTCGTAAGTCTTTTTGTGGCTGGCGTCTGCCTAGAAAGCGCAGGTCATGACCGCTTCTCTGATGCACTTGGGTGTCGCTGTGTGCAGGGCTCGCTCAGCCCGGCAGCTCTATGGTGGGCAATTCTACTGTGGAAGACCTGGCTCAGGTTTAATGCCACTGTTCAGCCCATTCTTACAGCCAGGACCTGGCAGATCCAAGGGAGGCGACACCCTCAGACCGTTTGGTGGGCTTATCGAGTCTTGTCCCCCTGCCGACCTGCACTTGAGGGCACAGCAGGGCGGGAGACGGCCCCTGCAGCGGGCCTCATGCTTTCCTGAGGAGATTGCCTGGGCTGAAATCACTCAGAATAGTTCTCCCCACCAGAGTGCAGCCACAGAGTCACACATGCTCTTGGGTGTGCTCTGAGCTGTCTGAGTGCAAGACACGGCTCTGACGCGTTGCCAGGCTCACTCCCTGGTGCACACACCCAGGCCCACGTGCTCGGGGGCACCTGATCCTGTGTTACTCACCGAGGCTTGGGAGACCCAGCATCCTGCACAATCAGGAGCGCACCGTTGCTGCGCTTGGGTTAGACGCCAGGGGGCGCTGACTACAGCTAACAAGGCCCCAGCACGCGGCAGCTCACCTTCCTCTCAGGAGACGCGATGATCCTCCAGTCATTGAGCTTCAGCTGGTGCAGCTCATCGAACTTCATGCTGACGTCCTCGACGGAGAGCTGCAGCATGTCCCAGTAGCCGGCCAGGTCCTGGGACGTCGGCCTCGGCATGGCGCTGGGGTCCTGCGGAGACAGGGGTTCAGCGTCCTGCGGCAGGGCCCGGGCTCCTCATCCCGAGTGCCTTCCAGCAGCGGATCGGGAGCCTGGCTCTCCTAACTCTGAGGCGGCTTTTGGGGCGCTTCGCCGGGACCGGACGGAGCCCCGGCGCGTGTGTCTGCTGGCAGGTCCCTGTGTAGCACACCCCTCACGATGCACGTTGGAAATGCGGGAAGGTGCAAACACTCAGGGGTTCACACCAGCCATGGAGGGGCTCTAGGGGTCTGAATTTTTATGAAGGGACCCGGCTGGGGCAGGGCTTATGTGGGGCGGCAGGTAGGCTGAGGGCCAGATCGGTGCGCGCGCTGATGGGTCCGCGCTCTGCAGTGAGGCCAGCGACCCCTTACAAACATCACGTCTGTTTAGCTTGCTCCTCCGTGGAGGGGCGCAGGCCCAGGAGCCTCTCTGGTCAGAGCCGTGTCAGAGCTGGGCTCCCACCTCGGACCGCCGTGGCCCGAGATGGCTCTGCTCCTGCACGGGTCCTGCCCAGGACGGGGCACTCTGTTGGGGGCTCCCTGGCTCGGCGTGGCTTGGCTGGCTTAGCCTGGTCACCCTCAGTAGTCAACACAGCTCTGAATTTGTGTAACACTTCGGCCTGGGGAGATAGCCCAGTAGAAAAAGCGCTTGCCTGGCAAGCGCAGGGTCCTGAGTTCAATCCCTCAATTCCCGGTACCGCAAAAACAAACCAAACCAAACCAAAAAACCCCAAAATACATGGGAACTTCAGATCCCTCCCCTTAGCGAGCACTGAGCATGCCCAGAACTTCTGTTTAGTTGGCTTATATTTAACCTGGTTTAACTCCCACATCCCCTTTAGGCACTTGGTGGCAGCCCATGCAGTGTGCCCTGCCGGCAGCGAGGCTCAGGGGTCAGATAGGGCTGCCTTGTGCCGGAAGGAAGGCCTCCTCGTCCTCCCCAAATCGACTGTCGGCGGTGAGCCTGTTCTTCTCTGAACCACTAGAGGGCGACCTCCGATCATCACAGACTCTGTACTTGAGAAGCTGCGGCCAAAGGCAGCAGTGGAGCAGACAGGGGCAGCCTCTGCAAACAGCAGCGTGGGAAACTGGACGTGCACAGGCTGGACTAAAAGTGTTTGTCAGCCCGGACTGAGAGCACACGGGAAGGATCAAAGCCCTAGGTATGAAACCGACTTTGGAACTGGTGGAAGGTAACCAGGAGCTCTCGAAGCCAAAGGCACAGGCAAGGGTGCACTGCATAGGACCCGGGTGACACAGAATGTAATAGCAGGACTCAACAGATGGGCCCAACCAAATCCAGAGCTTCCATGCAGCAGCGGGACCACAGAACAAGGAGCCTGCAGAACAGGAGAGAGCTGTTGCCAGCTGCTCTTAGGGGTGACGGGCGGCTCCGGCGTGCACAGGGTCTGCTAGGCGTGCTGGGTAGGGCCTCCTGGGGTCCAGGCGCTGCAGGCCCTGCCCCCGTGGCCGGTCTCTACCCTCAGCATCCGGCCTGCTGTTTCTAGGGCTGCTTCTTAACATGAAGCTTAGTTGTCTGCCTCCTCCACCTCTAGCCACCAGCAACGCTGCCATCTGGGGGCTGCAGTGACCAAGAGCCCCCAGATGTCTACAGCAGGCTACACCCAGGCTGGCTCAGACCTGTGCCACCAGTCCCACCTGCCACAGGTTTTGGAGCTCATTTGTGCCACTGTTGAATGGGGCATAAATGAGAGGAGGTGGCCAAGGAGATCCAGAGGCATCCACCACTCTAGAAGGAATTGTTTCAGGCCCTACTACAGCAACTGCCTCTGGGTGGCCGGAGATGGACGTTTTCCAGGCCGCAGCACCATGAGCCTGCACCATGTAGCCCAGGGCTCCTGGCAGCCAAGGCTCCTGTCACGAGTGTGTGGAGGCAGGGGCGTGGGCAGCACGCGTGGCACCCACACATGTACCTGCTGCCGGTCTCCTCTCAGTTTACTCTTTGACTTTAACCCTCCTGAAGCCCTGCTTAGTGCTGAGAACTGAACTCTGGGCCTTGCACGTGCTAGGCAAATGCTCTGCCTGGGCATAGCTCAGGTCCAGCCAGCCCTCTTAAATGTCTGTAAGCTTTACACTCAAGGTGACACGTTGGCAGCTCTAAATCTGGTGAGATCCTTAGTGGGCGAGGTGGAAAGAGCTGGAGGAAGCACATTTCTGACCCCCATGGAAAGTACAGAGCTGCAAACTGCAAGCAGAAACGGTTGAAGCACCTGTTGCCCACCACAAGGCTATAGAGAGCCCCTGGACAAGTGGGGTGTGAAAAATCAAGGCATGCACTGCAAAATCGCCTATGAGGAACACAGACACCATGTGGCTGTGGTGCTCAGAATTGCATAAATACTATCTGTAGTGAGAAAGAAAAGTATACACGCGTGTGTGTGTAAGATGCACCTCTCAGTGTCTACAGATGAGCAGATACAAGTGTACCAGTGCATGTGCACGTGGGCGTCGGTGCCTACGGTGGCCCTTGCTCCCCTCTGCATGTCAGAAGACCAGGCTTAATGCCAGCTGACTTTACACATCTAGCGCGTGGTGTGCTTGTTTCTATCCAGACAATATAACAGAAAAGTTACACAATTTCTACTACCTTTTCCAGATCTCCTAAGGGGCGTGTGTCTGTGTGCCTCTATTCTGGCCTCCTCACACCATTTTCTTTGCTGGGGACCTTGCCACAGCAGTGATTAACTTCCCAGCTCCTCTGCAGTCTTCTGAAGAAAGCCAGCAGAAGCCAGGCTCGCTGACTCCAGGACTCCTGGTCCCTTCTAGCAAAGGACACACACTTCGTAGCCCAGCCCAGCTGCGGGCGGAAGCTGAGGCCGGAGCTGTGGGTCCTCGGGGCCTGGACTGCCCAGGGCTCGCTTGCCGTCTGTCAGGTGCAGCGCTCTAGCCCACGAGCAGCCCAAGCCCCGGCAGGGCGGCTCTCAGGTAGCCACTGGTCACTCACCATGTTCTGCTGGCAGAGCCAATAGAACTGCTGGAACTTCTGGGACATGAGCAGCTGGGCACTCCCCACAGCACTCCGGATCTTCCCGAGAACTGTGGGAGACAGGACAGGTGGGCTGCGTCAGTGGGGGCAGGCGCAGAAGGGCTCCACCTGCGGGAGCGGCCAGCACTGGTCCCACACCCTGCCACAGGCACTGGCAGTGCTGGGTGTGGGCCAGGCTGCTGGACGCCTTCGAGTTCACGGGTTCCGTGAGTGCAGCGGACTCCATGAAGGTGAAGGCATTAGCCCCAGAGTTTAGAGAAAGCACACTGAAGCTGCTCAGCACACTTGTCGGTTTCTGGACCCTGGTCACATGGGGCGAGGTGCTGACTGCAGGGTGGGCCTCGGCTGGCAGCAGGGGCTCAGAGAGCTGCCGTCCAGTGTGGGGACTTGGGTAGCTTCCTTCCTGGAGCAGCCTGTCCACGGGGCATCCTGCACAGCTCCCTCGAGGTGCTTGCTGTGCATATAAACACCCTGTGCCAAGCGCTGAAAGCATTTCTAAGCTGCCAGTTCCCAGGCCCTGCTGGAGAAAGGCCTGGCAAGCTCCGGTTACTGTTGGGGAGAGTGACTGAGGGGAGGGGGTGCGTTCCACAGAGATCTGATCTGAGGAAGGCCAAGGTGAGAGGCCCACCGCAGCGCACCATGGTCTGTGCAGTTCAAGGCAAATGCTCAGGAGGAGGTCTCATCTGGAGCAGTGGAGATGACGGGGCTCCAGGACCCTGGGGGTCTGCATGTGCCCGCCTGGCAGGCCTAGGTGGGATGAGACCACCGCTCTTCCATGCCCAAGGGATGTTCTTGGTGGTCCATGACACATACTTGACAATCAGAGACCAGAGGTCATTCCCAGGGCTGGAACTGAGCTTCAGGGATGGGAGCAAAATCCCCTTAGCTTCCTTCCACGTTGCATATTTCTCCAAACACCAACGATTTTAACACCAACTACGTGGGAGACATTTGCCCTGCAGGAGGTGTCATCAGACCCTAATACCCCAACTACCACTGCTGTGATATTCTTTTTCTTTAGTCTGATTTTAGGGGTTAAAGAATCACAACAGATAATCAGAAAGACGTTCACTATGACAAAATACTATGAAGCTACTGAAAATGATATTCCAGAAATCAATTACAAAGCAATGTGTTTAGCACATGGGCCTGATGTCTTAGTTACTTTTTCATTGCTGAAACAAAATACCTGAAACACACTAGTTAAAGGAGAAAATGCTTATTTTGTCTTCTAATTTGTAGAAGTTTCAGGTCAGAAGCACCTAGTGCCAAGGCACGGCAGCACGGCAAAGGGTTGTCACGGCCGAGAAGCAGTGCATGGCACAGCAGCAAGAGTCAGGAAACACTTCCTCTCCCTTTTATTCTATCCAGACTGCAAGCTGACTGGTTGGTGCTGCCCACACCCAGGGTGGGGCTTCCCTCTTCAGTAAATCCATCCACCATACCCCGAACGGTGATAAACCAACCAGTGGACTAATCTAGTATCACCCCTCCATAATCCAGCTACTCCCCAAAGCTCCACCTATGAGCACATAAGACTTTAGGGGGACACCTAATTATAAGCCATGACACTGGTGTTGTATATAACATGATCTTCAAAGTGATTGCAATGGTTATCTGTCTGCATATTCTTTTTCTTTTTGTAGATCTTCAGTCATCAAAGTTTCTTTACAGAAAACTTCACGTATTCAGATGAGCTCAAAGAAACACAGTGAATGTCTGTATCCTCAGTTCTCAGAATCAGCAGGCAGCACTCCCTGTGTGCTTGTAGTCTTTGCCGAGCCCTCTGGAGGTGAGCTGTCCCCAGCACCTCACCTCCTCTTCCTGCGTGATCTCAAAGAAACCAGCGCTCCTGAGAGGCCGCTTCCCGACACTGTCCGTTCGGCATTGACTCTGGCTATGGCAAAGACTGAAAGAGCAGCAGTAACTGAATAAAAGTGAACACATCATGCCACACTGAGGGCTTTCTTAGTCTTTGAAAGAGCAGGAGCCACAGGTCCTGTGGCTGCTGAAAGCCCGCGGTGCGTGCGTGCATGCGTGTGCGTGTGCATGGGTGTGTGTGACTGTTCCCACCCCCTCTGGTCTGATCTGCAGCCGGACCTGAAGCTGCAGAGAAGAGATGGGGAGGACCCAGGAAGCTTGAGGAGATGGTCCCGGTCCAGAGGGCCTTTTCCAAAATGCTTGGGACAGGAGGGATTTGGATTTGGATTTTTTTTTCCAGATCTGGGCTAGATGCATAGATTTACATCTAGATGCTCTGTCAAAGACACGTGCTCCCGGGCAGGATGCTGGTGGGTGACTGGATTACAGGGGCATCAGAGCTGCTCGCTGTGAGGAGGCGGGGTCAGGGAAGGAGGCAGTCTCCACAGTGGGACCTGTGCGGGTGCATCTCCCTCCTGGCTCCTGCCACCAGGCCTCACGTCCTGCCACGGAGCCAGCAGGCTATGGCCTGAAGTGCGAGCCCAAAAGCCTGTCCTCTTTTGAGATGTGCATGTCCAGCATTTGGTCCTGGCTATTAAGAAAGTGACTGAGACACCCTTGGGGTAGAGCTCACGCCAGAACACAGAATTCATCCATGTGTTGAGTATGCCTTGAGCAGGCAGCATGCAGGTCACTCCACCCAGTGTTTTCAGGGTCCCTGGGGCCTTGTCTGCAGCCTGCCACAGGAAATTTGGGGCAGAATTCTCCACGTATGGTGAATATCATCTCAGGGTTCAAAATGCTTGAAATGTGAAGCATTCTGGATTTGGGGTCTTCAGATTAGGGTGCTCAATGTGTGCAGGAGGTGCAGTGAAAGGATGGTGGTAAGCTGGGGCGTGGAAGGTGCTAGTGGGTGGGCTCGGAAAGTAGCAGGGGAGGGCGTGGCCGGGAGGGCTGCACCCTTCACAGGCAGGCTGACCGGGAGGAACAAGGACCACTAGTCCAGGGTCCCCCTGGCTGGCAGCAGAGGCACAGGCTTTCTTTCAAGGCTGAGTCTGTTTCTTTTGTACTCTGTTACTGAGTCAATGAAATTCTTAGACAGGCTTGTTTTAACCAAGCTGCTGCTGTAGCAATGGAGAAGAGCTAAGTAAATGCACTTGTTTTTCTGGGTCTGTTTCTTCAAAGTATAATTAAAAATTCAATGGTTTCTACAACATTTCAAGCTTTGATCTCTAATCTTCATATTCTGCTCAAAGTGGAATTCTCCTGAAGTGGTCCCATGAAGCTCTCCAAATTAGAATCTTGAGCACAACATGAATCTTGAGTCTCTGTGTTGACTTAATGCACTGGAGAGCTACAAAGAGTATAAATTGAATATTGCTAGACGAGATAATAAAGGACAGAGAATAGCCAGTGATGTGATTGCGAATGGCAGGAGAAGTCTGCTGTTCACTGAGTGGGAATGATCCTGTCGGTTACCTCTAATGTAAGTAGCTTCCTATAATTGCAGGGAATTTGAAGTGAAAATTCAATTTATTCTTTTCCACTATACTTCCCTAATTTTGTCACAATTGAGACACTTTTCCTTTCTAAAACTGAGATAAGGACTAATGCTTGTCAGAATGCAAATTTACAAAGAATCTGAGGTGACCCTTGCCTCTGATGTACAAAGAGATTTAATTAACTTACTCGGCTCTTTTAATTTATTTTTCATGCATCTTCTATAATTTCCAGCTCCATGTAAGTTTGCTGTGCAGTTCCAGGAAACATTTCCGCTGCCCTCAGACATAGGGCGGGCTGTGGCCTTCGCAGGCTGACATGGGCGTGGCGTGGGCTGTTCACAGATGCCTGTGCCTCCTGCTGGCCAGACCTTCGGTGTGGAGTGGTGCAGCGCAGGACCCACGCGGCCCAACGCTGCACGGGCTCGGCACCTCCGGTGGCCATGTAGCTACTGAGGTCTCCGGGGCCTTTCTACCCTTGGCACGATTCTGGCTGCTGTGTGTTCTCGGCCTGGGCACACAGGGACTCCACTGTGGCCTGGGTCCTACCAGAAGCCCAGCTGCTCTGCTCAGACGATGACTGTGGCTTTTCTGTTTTCTTCCCCTGGGACCAGGGCCTTGTGCTGGCTGGAGGCGAGGAACAGCTTCTCTCTGGCCATCTCGTCTTGCATTGAGTGTGGGTTCTGTGTCTTCTCAGGGCCATCCTGGGCCCTTTGTCACCGCTCTGCCCATACGGAGGCCCACTGCCCTGCACACCTTGTCCAGATGACTGTATCCTCATGCAATTGGCCTGGGAGCCCCCAGCTTGGCACTCCTGTGACTACAACACTGTAGTCGCTCATCTTGTCCTAAAAGGGGGGCACGGGTTGCTACAGGGTCCTCAGCACCAGCCAGGAGAGCATTCAGTTCAGGGGCCATCTGGGGAGAAGCAGGGCTGGCAGGGGCTCCCGGCTCCTCTGAATGCCCAGCTGCACAGTGCCAACTCTACATGGAGCCTGCTTGCTGGGGTCCTCTAGGCGTCACCCTGCCAGGCCTGGGGTCTGCTCCCTATAGGTCTGGTTGCTGCTTGTTGTACAGGGCGTATCCACAATGGCTTCACTTTATGATGCCTCCCTTTGGGCTTTGCACAGCTAACTGAAGGGCCCCAGCCTTCCTGAGCACTTCTGTGTGTGGAGGACAGGAAGCCTGCAGGGTGGACTTGTGGGAACCAGCAGCACCCGCCTATGTCAGTGCTGTTAACCACAGAGCACAGAAAGAAGTCAGATCCCACCCATCCACTACCTTGCGATTATGCAACTACCATGTGGGCAAAAATTCCTCTGTGCAGTGGAAATTTCAATATTCAGGGCTTAGAGCTTTGGTCTAATGAGCCATTTAATTTCATCTTTATTTAAAAAGCGCTGAGACTAATGGCTCTGTCTGTTGCTAAAATCACAACCTGAATCAGAGGTCGCCTGACCCTGAAGCACTGGGGGCACACCTGGACTGGTGAACGCGGTGCTGGTTCCCTGCAGCTGGGCGCGTGAGCATGTCTCAGCATCTCTGCCCACGAGGAGATGAAGGGTCTGGAGAATGGCAATCAGGAAACCACGCAACATCAGGCCTACCTGTCGCTGTGCTCTGTGCTCATGGAGGGTGCGCTTGCACTGAGTGCGAAGCGTGCACGCCCTCAGGGCTGTGGAGCTGGGATCCAAAGAGGGGCCGGCCGCTCCCAGCTGGCCACCTCCGTAGTGCACAGCGCCCCCTGCAGGCGCCACGGTGTGGTGAGCGCGTGCCTCAAGCCCGCTCCTGCCTGCAAGGAGCCCCGGGAACTCCAGGAAGGTGGACCCAGATTGAGGATACCCAGAGCTGTGCTGTCCTCTGCGAAACCCTGCCATGGAGTGAGCGAGGTAGCCACGCAGGCTCGAGAGCTAGCGTCCCCTGGGGGTGGGTGACGCGGTCCTCCCAGAGGAGTCAGATGCCGCAATTCCCCCTTCAACCTCCCTTCCTGCTGACCACACACAGCCATCCTCAGGGTGGAGAGCAAAGCCGCCCACTCTAGGGAACCTTCCAGGAGTCTTCCTGCCTCTGTGTACTTCTCTCATTTTCTCGGTGTGTGTGTGTTGGCGGGGAGTACTGGTAGAACCCAGAGGCTCCACCCTGAGCTACATCTGTGGTCCTTTTCCTTTTTTATTTTGAGACAAGGCCATGCTAAGTTGCCCAGGGTGGATTTGAACTTGCAGTCCTCCTGCCTCAGCCATCCAGAGTGCTGGGAGTCACCATGTCCACCTTGATTCTGGCTTTGTGACTCACTTTCTCTGCACTTCTCTCACCCTCCGATGCTTTCCATTGTCTCTCCCAGTCCTGGTCTTTGTCTCCTTGAATTATTCTTGCCTGTTGACTCACTGCCCACAGTGGTGTTCGGTGGATTCCCGCTGAGTGTGTGCAGCAACGAGAGTGTCCGGAAGACGAAGCCAGGTGTTCAGCACAGCCAGCGTCTGGGGCTGCTGAGGTTCCTCAGCTGCGATCGCTCTGCCCACACCTCCTGGATGCCCAGGGCAGTGCAGGCCGCAGAGCGAACATCTGTGAACTCAGGGAGGGGGCCTCACTGCTGACTGGGGACCCCAGCTTAGCAAGTTCAGCTCTGTGTGGCACACAGAGTCTTCTGTATGTTCTTAGATGTCCCCAGGAGAAAACTGTGACTACAAAAACATTTCTGCACTGAAGCCTTCTAACTGTTAAGCCTCCCGTCCTTACTTGGGGCAGGAACTGTCCCCTAACAGGAACAAGGGCAGGTGCCCCACGGGTGTGCTCTATCAGCCCAGAGCCTCTCTCTCCACTGTGGTGGGTGTCACATTTCCAGATACAGAGAAGGCAGGATGCATCAGAACAGAGGGGAAGGCACCAGGGAGGTGGCTCAGTAGAATAAGCGCTTGCCTGGCAAGCACAAGGGCCTGAGTTCAATCCCTGGTTCTGCAGAACAGAGGGGAGGAGGCCACCCAATAGGAAGCTGCTGACAGGGAGCGAGTGACCCAGGGCCTGCAGATGTCTCCCATCACAGCACTGCTGCAGCACCAGCGCCATCACTGCACTTTGTGCTTTGGGGGAGACACTGACTCCTGATGCCTCGGTTTCTTTGTGGACAGTGACACCCGCCTGCCTCGCAAGGGGCACAAGGCGGTGTGGGAAGCACTCAGCACGAGCCGGACACAGTGGTGCTCAGTAAATACTGCCCTGGGGTTCTTCCTCTTTTTAGTGTCTTTCAAAAAACTATAAATGGGGCCGGGGAGATGGCTCAGTGGAATAAGTGCTTCCCTGGCAAGCACAAGGACCTGAGTTCAATCCCCGGTTTCACCAAAACTATAAATGGAAGCGACTAAATTAAAAGTACAGGACAAGAACTGTGTGGAAAATAACAATAAAGCTAGTATGCCTGCTAGTTTATAAACACAGCAGCTGAAAGAGGCAGTTTACTGCTTGGCTTATAGATAGGCAGCCAGCCAGGGCGGCCCACGCTGGAGTTGGGCTGGTTGGCCTTCCAGAGATAATAACTGTGCGCCTTGCGCAGGCTAAGGGCAACTCACATTTTCAACTTGCCAGACAGATAGCTAAGCTCCAAAACAGAAGTGACAGGGGTTAAGACAAGGACAGGCGGTTAGGACTCTGCCTCCAGCAAGGAAATGCCCTAGGCAGCAGGGGAAGCGTGGCCTAAACAGCCCCTCCCCCAGGCTATGGCTGGTTTCCAGGAATTTAGAGACCTCACCTAATGGTTTTTTCTTTGGACTCTGCATTAGAAAGTCTGGGCCCGGGTGGCTATTTTAAATCCATAGAGCACTGAGCACGTTCTGAGTTCTGTTCCTGGACAAGGAGCTCCCTCTGGCGCCCGCTTCCCACCCTCCCCGCGGCTGGGAGCTTTCTGTCTTCTTGTGCTTCCAGCGAGCACTTCCTTGTAACTTTTCTCTACATCTGAGATTTAATCCTCAACTTTGTGAGACAAAAGCCTGGTCGAGACAGTGATGGCAAGGACTAATATCACGAGACTGGGACATTCAAAGAGCACTACATGTGACCTAGATGGCAGGTGAGTTCAGATGATGTCAGGATAAGCTATGAGCGACATTTGCAGGGGCTGACACCAGACACACGGACCTCTGGGGTCCGCGGTCTTCCCTCCTCCTGCCCTGCTCTGGGCCTCTGGTCAGTGCAGTCCACTCGGACCCCACATCCTCATGGGGGTTTTGTCGTGTAGATGGGAGGCAGGTGAGAGCCAGACACCGTCCCCAGAGGGTGGGGCCAGGTCTGCAGGGGCTCTCTTGCTGTGAGGAGCCCAGAGACCCCACTGCTCCCCAGGATGCGGCCCTTTACAGGCAGGCCTGCTCTTCTGTTTACCTAAGGCTTTCCTTTGGCAGATTTTTACAAACATGGGACAAATGATACAAATGCTCCAAATTAAGTTACTGCCAGAATTCAGGAAAATGAGGACTATACTACAGAGAAAAGCAGAGTTTGCATAACTGATCTCAGTTCCAACCCATGTAACCGAACACACCAAAGCCCTCAGCGGAGCATCCCCTGCACTATCCCCCAAGCTGCTTTTCTTGGCACTTCTCTGTACTGTTCTGTGGCACTGGGTGGGAGAGAGCTGAAAGCACCTTTATCTGGATGCACTCAGACAGCGCAGGGGCCTCCCCCACTGCTGCTGGCATGGCTGCCTACTGCGGAAGGCCCACCGCCAGGGCCGCGAGCACAGTCTGCTTCCTTACTTTCTTCAGGGAGGTCGTTCTCCTCGGCTTCCCTCTCCATCTCCTTGCACCAGCCCTCCATCCGCTTGGTCTCTGTGTGCAGCAGCTTCAGGAACCACGAGCCGTCCCTGCGGCATGGGGACATCCTCCCGGCCTCCACGGGCTCCAGGGCTGGCTCCAGCCAGGGCTCGGGGGCGGGCAGGCTGGCCGCATCCACCTGGGTCCGATAGTCTTCCCGGTAACTGAAGAGGCCCTGTGTGCGCACCGTCCTCACTGCCCCGTACTGGGTTGGCGTGCTGGGCTCTGAGTGCCGTTGGAAGGACGAGCCGAACTGGAGTCCCTTATCCTCTGTGGTTGTATGGCCCGGGAAGCCCTCCAGCTCCAGGTCAGCCTGTACTGCAGCCGTGACGCTGTTGGAGCGCTTGAAACGCCCGTGCCTGCGGGAGAAGAGGACAGATGCGGACTGTCCCTCCCAGACAGCACAGGAGCCTCGCGCCGTCCCCCAAGCCACACTCACCGCACTGGACTCTACCAGCCCCACACCCCTCACATGCGCACACATGCCACCGTCGCCTGCCTTGTGGCTCGGCGTGTAGTGTGCCCGGTATGGCATCTGTTGTGTTTGTAACTGAGTACATGGATGCCTGTGACCTCCAGGCCCCACTGTAGGCCCCAGGGAACTAAGCACTGTCCCCAGCTCCCACAAGCACGTGCAGATCTCCTCTGGGCCTTGGGCCTTTTCCTTGTGTGTGTCCAGTGTCGCCACCTCGGTGTGGCTATGGGAACAACTGAGAGTGCATCCTCGGAATAGAGACCAAGAGAGTGAGGTGGTGGAGAGCCCTGCGTGTCCCCAGGGACGGGCATGTGGGTGTGTGCCTGTGTCCGTTCATGTGCCTGGTGTGACTGATGTGTGACATGTGCCCGCACTCCCCGGTGTGTGTGTGTGTGCCAAGTGTGCGCCCAATCCTTGGCTGGCACTACTGAGCCCAGAGAGGCGCGGCACTGCGAGCAGCGGGTGTTGCAGGGGCCTCGGGCACTGTGCACGCCTGGTGCGGCGTCCAGGTCAGGCAGATGGAGCTGGGGAAGCCTCCAGCTGGGGCCCTGCAGGTCCCTGTGCTCGAGTCTTCTAGGCTGGGTCGGAGCGCCCTCCCAGAGGCTGACACGCAGAGCCTGGCCACAGATGGAAGCTGGAGCTGCGGTGTGGCGCTCTCGCTCCCGGGAAGATTGAGCCCTTCATATAGAAGCTGGCCTTATCCCTGTGCCCTTGTTACCAAAATAACCCCGTTTTAACAGCCCCTGGGCTTCCTTTGGAGGCCGCACTTCTGAAGCGAGACAGCCTCCTGGGGGCCGAAGGCCTGCGCTCCTCCTTCCCTCCCTCCCTACCTCCCTCCCTCCCTCCCTCTGACTCCGCCTCCGCCTCCGCCTCCACCTGGGACTCCAGGCTCACATTGCCGAGTTACTTCATCAAGAGCCACATCCGTGCCTCTTGCTGAAACAGAACGTGGGCACACGCTAATCCACCTCGGGCAATTCACCCAAGCGCGCCAGCTCAGAGGGCAGTGCTCCCGGGGCCGGCGCGCCCAGGCACGCAGGGAGCTGCCTTAGTTACCGCTTCTCGTCCTCCACCTGGACCCCGACAGAGTGGTACTCCCGCAGGCCTCGGCTCTCCGTGTCAGAGTCTGTAGCCGTTTCCACCTGATTCAACACAGAACATCTCACTTAGAACAGAAACGTGGGACTTGGGCCAGGGACTAGGATTTTTTGTTGCTGTTCATTTGCTGTAATTAATTACACATTTGTTTAATTAATGCTGAAATGCACTTGAGCCCCTAACATCACGGAGATAGGAGAATGCATTCCGATCTGTGTAATTATGTCCCCGCTGTGTTTTGCCACATTTTACATAACCACTTGAACTCAAGGCCCAACTTCAGCCTTTTAAATGTATGCAAATAAAACTGCTTAGTTCAGCTGAGGCAAAACGGCTTTGTCTTGTCGGGCTGCATCGTTACAGGACTTAAAAGCTCTTACCACAGCCTGCAGTGAGGAAAGGAGGTACAGCGTGAACCAAACGCAGCTGACAACAACGAGTAAGCACTTTGGGAGACTTATACCGATGGCCGCACTCACAGACACAGGAAGGAAGTGAAGCGTGTCAGCAACAGAGGCCAGCTCCCCTCCACCTATGCAGGGGGCTCCTGCCGGGCACCCCAGGGAGTCCCCCTGGCCATCATAGTTGAAATGTGCTCCCCAGAGTCCCCAAGGTTCTGTGATAATCATTAGCCATGTAAAGTTACCACAGGAGTTAATTCTAGATCAGGAAAGTTTATAAAGAAAACCAAAAACCCACTCAAAGATCCCAGCGTGGAATCTGAGGAGTCAAGACTGAGCCGCTGAGAGTCTTCCAGGTGCAGAACTTTCTCTGGCTTTTGTCACAGAGCATTACCTCTCCTACCTAAAGGACTTGGGACCCCAAGCTGAGTTGTCAGAGCCAAGCTTTAAACATTTTTCTTAAGCTGGGACCAATTCCCGGAGGAGGAGCTGCCAAGCATGAGGCACACGCACGACTAGGCACCCTGACGTCCCAGCCTTGGGTGGGACTGCCCTACAGGTGCTGCACCAGGCCCAACCCACCAAGGACAGAAGAAGGCTGAGGGCTGGTGGGGTTTCCCCATTTATCCTACCCACTGGCTACGTGCTGGGGACAGAGAAGGCGATGACTTGCCCGGGGTGCTCAGGGTGCGAGGGCAGTGCTGGGGCTCCTGCTCTGTGTTGTCCTGGTGGCCACACACCTGCCACGCTGTGGCAAGATCAGGCTTGTGTCTTTCTGCAGAGGCCTAAGATCAGCACGGAGGCTGGGCCTGACAGTTGGAAGGAGTCACAGGGAGCTTTCTGGGAGGAACAGCCTCACGTGCTCACGAGGGTCTCCCTTTCCTCCTCACCGTGCGGCGGGGAGAGCATGACATAGTCTTCAGGAGACTCAGGACGGCTAACGCCCGCGTCAGAGGTGGCGGCTTCCTGTGTTCTACCTGCACGGCTCCAGGCGTTTCATGACCACAGCCTGATACAATGAGTCAGTCTTCAGTGGAGGGACCCTTCGGTTCCATCCAGTTTTGTCACCAGTAATGCTTCTGCTGTCAGTGTGACTGCACCTGCACGTGCATGTGTACTTCTGTGAGCACACTCAAGGTGTGGGCCAAGATGAACACGCTTGGGTGGATGTGGCCCGTGTGAGACATGGCGTGGTGAAATCAATCACGGATTTTCTGTAGAGAGTCTGATAATGCTTATCAACGTGTCACCAGCAGAGCTAGGCCCCCGCCCGAGGGAACGGCGCCACACCTGGCCTTTGTGTGAGGGCCGCAGTACAGTGCAGCGGTGTGTGCAGGACATGGGCGAGGGAGGCAGGTGAAGGGGACACCAGTGTTTCCTCATGATGCCTCACAGTCATGCACACGACATGAGGCAGGTCACAGCGGCGAAGCTCTGGTGTGTGGAATTGAAACGGTAGATTTCTGGTGCCGTGAACAGCAGTGTCCAAGACGCAAGGGACACACAGCAGCACAGCCTCCTCCCAGTCATCTGTGACATCAGTGCCAGAATTTTCTCTAATATAATTTTGTGAAAAATGCAGGCTCTGGGGCCAGTCAAGTCCTGCTACAAGCTGGCCTATGACTGTCAGGAGAGTGGGATCTTTGCTGAAGCAGAAAAAATGAGAACACCCTTTCTGAAACAGAAAAAACTGAGCCCCATGTGACTGACGAGAGGCTGTCACAGAGCCCAAGCCAGGGCAGTCTGTCTGCCACACACACACGAGTTCCCGGTGCTTTCTTCTCAACTTTGAGGACACCGGCAGAGTCAGGTGTGGAATGAACTACAACATGCCTAGTGACTTTTATCAGTTTCCTGGCAGCTGTCACAGGAAACCTTCCAAAGACAAACAGCTCTCTGTGCTTGGTGGCAAAGTCCGAGAGGCACAGTGGGCAGAGGTGGCCAGGAGGAGGGCACTGGTACCAGCTCCAGGACTCCTGGGCAGAGAGGAGCTTTGGGTCGGCCAGGTGCAGGGCCGACCCAAAGAACAGCATTCCATTCTGCACAGTGGGGAGGGACCTGGGGGTCTCCCTGAAAAGCTGGCTGCACCGGAAGGAATAGAAGTTTCCAGAGCTATGTGTGTATATTCACTGTGGACCTGCTGTGTGGAGACTTCTGGGGCAAAAGCGTCTCTTAGGCAAACTGGTTTGGGAACCAGCACTGTATGTGAGGGCTCCCTGACAAATGGGGAGAAGACGCAGGCAGTGGCAACCGCATGGCAATGGTCAGGACCACGTGAGGCCCAGCCACATGGCTCCAGGCAAGCTGGAACCAGGAGCTTGGTGTGGCTGGCATGTATGCGTGGTCCTCTGCACATATGTGTGTGTGTGTGTATGCACACGGGGGGGGGGTGCTGATGTGAATCAGCTGTGGAGAGGCAGCCTCCTGGCTCTTCCTGTGTCCTGAGCAGGCTGACCACAGGTCTGGACCAGGCATCCTGGGTCTGAGCCCAGCTTTCTGGGCTGGGTTTTGTTTATTTGTTTGTGACTTGGGAACTGAATCCAGGTGCTCTGTACTGAGCTGTACCCCTGCCCTTTCTCCATGCTGCGTTTTTACACAAGGGCTCGCTAAGCCACTATGTCACCTAGGCTATGCTAAAACTCGCCACCTTCCTGTCGCACAAGTTTGCCCCTACCAGCCGCTGTGTCTAGTCAGGTTAGGAGAAACAGGCGGAAGGTGAGAAGGCCAGCTGGGGGCCCCGGTCAGGACACCTGTCTGGGCACTCAGCACATGTGAGCCTGGCCTGTCCTCGTCTTGCTGGTTCTGTGCCCAGCTGCTCACGTGCATGCGTGTGTGTGTGCCCATGCACACACGTGTGTCGCGGCCTGCTTGGTCCTGAGCCTGGACAGACAGTGATGTCCAGACATCGGGTGGAAACTTCCAGTGTGTGCTCCATCTAAGCTGGGCAGAGAGGGAGAGTGGGCACATGAGGTGCAGGCTGAGGTGGAGCAGGGCACCTGACGTAGCCCAGCAGCCTCTGCGCAGGCCCAAGTCCCAGTTACGTGCAGTGGTGTGCCACACCCTGGCACCTCGGGGAGCTGTGGAGCCAGGTGTCCCTGAAGGCTGGGGCTGCAGAAGGCGTGCTCCACAGCAAGGACACGTGGTGCATGCTGTCTGCACCCGGAGCTGTGCACGCCTCCTGCAAGCGCTGCACACTGCACTGGACTCTGCACCAGCCACCTCTCTGTGACTCAGGCCAGGGCCTCAAAGGACCAGAGCAGCTTCTCTCTCTACCTCTTTCCAAGAGGTAGAGCGCTGTTAGGGGCAGGAGGTGCCAGCCCAGGCTTCCATCAGGCTTGGCCCCCTGGGCTGTGCACCCTTAGGCAAGTCACCTACCCTCCCTGACCCTCAGTTTCCCCACAGAGACTAGTGTGCTGCCCTGGCACCAGGGCTCATTGCAGCATCTGGCGGAGAGCAGGTGCCCAGTGCGGGGCCAGGAGTCAGCTGCTGCTGAGCTCTGCTCTGTGCGTTGCGCCTCTGCCCACCTCAGGGCCAGGCACTGCTTCTCTGTCTTCTCTCTCTGAGTTGCTCTCCTAACTGCACGGCTACTTCACTCTTGACTGCTTCCTTTTCAGCTTACCAACTCGTTATGCACTGAGCATGGTGAGCTCTCAGCACCGCCTGCGGCGTCCCTCTGGCTGAAGGCTTTGTGCTCTTGATGCGCGTGTGCCCAGCCCTCCCACGGGTTCCCGTCTACTCACAGATTCGACATTTACCGAGTGCTTGCTATGTGCCAGGCACTGTGCTAGGTGCGTGGGCGCCAACAGGCAGGAGGTTTGATGGTTTGGGGTGGGCTCTGGGCAGGAGCTGGGTGTGCTGAGAGTAGGGCTTCTGCCATGCGTAGAAACTGCGTGCTCCGCAGGGGACACAGGGACCCTTGGGCAGCAGAGCGGGAAGGCTGAGGGCCAGCAGTGCGGCCACTGGGCCCTGGAGCTCAGGTCTTCACCACAGACAGGCCTGGAGCTTGCTTTCCCAGCACCGTGGGTGGGCACCCTTGGGAGTCCCTGCCCTCCTCGAGGTGGGGCCACTCAAGTCCTTGGGACACCACGGTCTGTGCAGCAGGGGCCCAGCACGGTGCCTGGTACATAGATCCAGGACACACAGGGACAAGCGCAGTGGCATGGAGAGTCCCGAGCAGAGAGGCAGAATGAGTCATGCGGACGTGGCTCAGAGGTGTTCGGTACTTACATCTGACCTTGGGTATGGCTGATGCTCGGGGAATTCAGAATCCTAAACAAAACAATGAAGCCACAGTGTGGGGACCTGGCTCAGGGACTGAGGCCAGTGGGCCGCTGCCCCCACGCGCTGGCTGCTCTTCCCCACCTGCCTTGCCTGGTTCCGGAGCCACAGGGCTTTTACCAGGCTCTGTACCTCGCTGTGGGCACAGGTCCTCAGACATCTGGCGTGTAAGGTCCATGGGACACAGGCTGAACCAAGGAGTGAGGGGCCTGTTCTGCGCCCTGAGGAGCCACGTCACATCCATTGGAGGCTGAGGGGACGCCACAGGGACAGACTGAGATGCTCCTGCTTGCCCTTCCAGCAGACAGGGTCCCTGTAGCTGCCGTCAGCCCCATAGCTATGGTGTCTGTGGTGTGGACGGGCACAGCCATGGGCCCCGGCACTGCTGCCTGCCCTGTGTGGATGCCCACAGCTCCACAGGGGGGCAGCCTCTTCCCAGTGCCCTCTGTGGAACGGCCACTGGAAGCTACCCTCTGGCTCATCATCTGTGGCCTCTCCACACTGCCGAGCAGCTACAGACCCTGGAAAATGCCCTGGGGAGGGTCCTGGGGTGTTGGGTGTAGGGCCTGGCTCCAGTTGTCGCTGTCTGTTAGGTCCTGCACCTCGGGCCAGGGTCCCACCCCTGACCTACTCATTGCATGATGTGTGGCGCCAAGGAGCAGCACGCTAGGGTACCTGCACTCCAATGGAGGAGCAGCGGCTCTTGAGGAGCTCCTCAGCCTGGGCTGTCAGGGTGCTCTTGTCGCCCGGCCGCGTGGGGCCACCCTGGCTGTCTATGTGGCGCTGGGCCGCGGCTGACTCCAGGGCGAGGTTCATGGCCTTGTTGCTGTCCAGACTGTCCGTGGAGTTGTAGAGGCCACGGCCATCCTGGGGCCACGGGGACATCCGCTGGGCACGGCTGTCCTGGTAGGCATCCTGGGTGGACTCTGTACTGCTCTGGGCTGTCACTGAGATGAGGGGCTTCGAGGTGGTCCGTGGAGGCACCGGCGGGGGCGTCTTCTTGTAGTGTGAGTAGGAGATGGCTGCAAGAGACAGAGTCCGTGAGTGGCCTCCAGGTGACCACTGCGGCCTGCTGCACCCAGAGCCTGCCCACCCAGCAAGCCGTCCCACCCGAGCGCACAGCTCAGGACGAGGGCAGGGCGCTGCCTCGGAGGCTGGCGGTCTGGGCGCACTCACAGCTGTGAAGTCACGAGCCCCGCACGCTCCAGCAGTGGAGACTGAGTGAGTCCCTGTGGCCTGGCAGGACAGAGCACATGGCCTCTGACCTACACGGCCACAGAATCCTACAGAGGTTTGTTCTCAAAAACAATGAATACAAGAAGTGAAAAAAACAAACAACAAAAGGAGTGGGCAGGGTCCTAAAGCCCAGAGAGGAAACGTGGCAGATGCAGGGAGAAGCCCGCAGGAGAAAGTGCTGTGTCACGACCCGCAGCCCGGCGACTGGGTGGTGGTAGTGCTGGTGGCGCTTCCTCTGAACAGCCTCTGAAGAGGGACTGCTGCGTTCATAAGAGAGCAGGCATCCAGCACCAGCAAGTTGTCTACCCCCTTCAAGTTTGGCGGCCCTGGGTGCTGGTGTGGGGCCCACCCAGAGGAGATGCCAGGCACACAAGCGTGTGCCGGACTGAGGCTGGTGTCACTTGCTGTCCCCGCTGCCTCCCACCTGGAGCAGCGCCTGACCTGGACGCCCTCCCCCAGAGCTTCAAGGAGCGGGTGAGGAGCTCTGTGTGGGACGGAGCGTGGGCCCCTTTGCCACAGCCAGACGTGGATTTGATGTTCACAAGGCTTCTTGGCACCAGTGCAGTGTGTCCATTCCCCTCGATATGGGTCTGCCCAGCTTTATTTATCCTGAGGAAAAGAGCTGCCATGACCTCTGTGAAGTTGGAGACACAGTGAGCTCTGTCTCGCCCAGGCCACAGGGGCTTGTGTGGTGGTGGTGACATGCCCTGGAGTGGGGTGGTATGCACTACAGTGTGGGTGATAGGCGCTGCGTGAGGGTGACAGGTGCTGGGTATGGGTGACAGGTATTGGGGTGTAGATGACAGGATCTGGGTGAGGGTGACAGGTGCTGGGTGAGGATGACAGGCTGTG